AATGATGCGCTAGACTTTGTCAAAGTGACGCAAAGAGAGACGAGTAAGGCACAATACTGGGATGAAAGACATGCATTGGAAGAGACTTCCATTCAACATCGCGTAGATAGCGGTTGAAGAAAAAAAAAGACATCCCAAAAATGTCCTGTTGTTTGTTGAATCGTTTAATTGAGCCGAAAATATCATTTCCATTATGTGATTGACCCTCAAAATCGATTCCATTTATAAAAAAATCATAAACTTATTAGTTGGTACAATTATTTTTAGAAATATAATGCATTTTTTATCAACTATCATTTCCGACGAGATCATGACTTCCTCAATTTTCTGTTAATAGAGTTTCTTAATATCAAACTGCTCAGGCTGAAAATTGAAAAGGTCTAAACCGAAATCTATTTTGACTTTAACTTGGATGTTTTTTTTACGGTGCAGCAATTAATTTATATTGTTTTACGTATTCTGTTTTAATTGTTGACTGACTTTGTTTATAGGTAATAAAAAAAATACATTAAGTTTTTTTTAATAAATTTTAGTTTAGCAGTAAAAGTCTTAGTGAAAGAGTTAGGATGTCCAGAGAAGTACTGCCACCTTACCTATTTCTGCTTCCTTGCTGTAATGTGAGAACTGCGTTCCGTATATGAAAGGTAAGGGTACTTTTGAAATTACAGCCATATGGGACTTGTCAACTTTACGTCTCGCGGTGACGGGCACTGTGTCAGTGCTCCACAGGTATTTACAGCTTAAAACTCGAAGTGGCACAGTGACTCGATTCTATTTACTGTATTTTATGTTATTTTTTATGAAAAGCAATAAATATGCAAATTAATGGTGTTTATTTCAACAAAACAACTTTTTGTTTTGTGATACCACGTGATAGGACGAACAAGTCATGCATGTGGGGGTAAGCGACATGCCTGTCCATAACAGTGGCAGTGCCACTCAGACCTTTACATCGTAAAGATCACCACTGCACCCGTCACCGTGAGACGTAAGTTGACAAATCCCACCAGCACCCTTACCCTTCCAAACCAGAACGCAGTACTGCTCACATTACTGCTAGGCGGCAGAAATAGGTACAGTGGCAGTACTTCCCTGAACAAACTCTTTCACACTAGAGCTCTACTGCTACTATACAAACATAAAGATAACACAATATAAACGACAAAATGCAATAAAAGGAATAATAACCTAACCTCCGGTTAAAAAAAGCGACCTCAAAAGTCATCCATCCCCTAGTTTGCCACCCTTAGAGGCGGAATATTTTCTTGAAATTTAAATGCGACCAACACTGAGGTACCCTCTTCTCAACAAAAAAGGAATCATCAAAATTGGTTCACAAATGGCGGAGTTATCGCGTAACATACATCCAAAAAAAAAATCATACAGACGAATTGAGAACCTCCTCCTTTTTTTGAAGTCGGTTAAAAATAAACTGGCAGTTCTTGACAGTCGTCGTCAAAAGTCACAAATACATTTAAGAGGCAATGTATACATTTTTATTATTTACGAAGTTTAAAACTATAGTCAAACAAAAACTTTATACTAAAAGTAAAAATCCATGATAGTGACACGTTTAGGTCTTGCAGGTTGTCACGATCTATTATATTTGAATTAAGTATTATACATAACAAATGTGTATAAATGTTTATTTACAAATATTAACCCCTAGAGTTTCATACTCATTCTTTTCAGAGGAATCAGCCTTACGAAAGAATATCAGAGTTATTCGAAGTGAAATTTGATTAACTATGAAATAATTTTGATTATATTAGTTTGAGTTTGTGTCTGTGTAAGACAAATTATAAATTTTATATACCTAGTCATTTATTATACACATTTTGTGAAGTAAGAATATTATATTATGTCAGATATATGTCTATAACACTATCTGCTTATCCCAGTTAGAGGCGGATGTCAAGTATGTATGTCAAAATATTAAGTGTACTGGTATTAGCTAAGTTTTGCTTCTATTCATAGAAAATGAAATTGAAAATAAAACATTTAAACAACCACATTAATTTCTCAAAACAAAATCACAAACTTCAAACTTACAAATTTTTAATATTTTTGTAAACCGTGAAATCTCCCCAAATATTTATCCGACAAATTTCATAAATATTGAACTTCAGTGGAAAGTTTTAACATAAATTATCTCAACTTCCAGAAGAAAGTAAATTCTTGGATCGTCAAGTCTCGCACTTAGATACGATTTGGATGCAAATCTGAGGACTTTATAAAATAATAATTTCAGGTATAGAACGTGATAAATTAGTATTTGAGATCAGAATTTTGAGAAGCTACCTATCTTAGTCAACTTTTTGGTTCTAAAAACCTTCTTACATTTTCAACAGAAAAGTATAAAGGAATTCCAGGTTTTTGGTTGAAATTTACATTTACGTAATGTAATTAAAGATCCAATTGGCTTAAAAAGTTTCTTAAAACGTAGGAAGTGCATACCAAAATGCATTTTACGGCTCACAGGTTAAAGGTTAAATTCGTTAAACACCGTATGCTACTTGTAACGTATAATTGTTTGTTGCGACCCAAATTAAAAATGAAACAATGATCCATATTCTTGGATAACTACTTAGCATAGATTAATAACTCGAGAGGACTGCTAGTCGCGATAGTCACCGTAGTCGGGTATTTAGTACCAATTGGAACAACAGATGTCGCGACGAGTACCAAATAGCAATTTTTTAAATTAATTTGTTTTACATTAAGGGTGAACCAAGAAGAGCGTAATTTTGTGAGTTGTAAGTTGCGTTTTTTGAGTTGCGCAGTTTGCGCTCGACCGAAATTCGGTTGGAGCGCCAAATGAACGTATTTTATTCAGTTAGTTTTAAGCGTTTATACGGGGTGTTTGTGTCGTAATAGTGTAATGGATCCATTAAAAATAGAGTGCATTTATGAAGCATTAGAAGACGATGTTAGGAAAAGAAAAAACGGGGTACATCCACTCAATATGAAACGATTAAAGTAATGGCAGTTTCTTATATTATATACAAGTGTATGTGAACATCCACAGCAATTTGTTAAGTACTACCACATGCCAATAAATGTTTTTCAAGAATGATTAAGCATAGTAAAACCTTTTATTACTAAGTCAGATACAAATATGAGACAAGCCATCAGTCCAGAGGAAAGACTAATAATAACAATCAAGTAAGTTATTCAATTATTTATATTTTAAGCTCCGTATCGACCATTTTCGCAAGAAACAACCTCCACCCGCGCCAGCCCGTCTCACGATGCGACCGAAAGTCATTCGTCATTACGCCCGTGAGTCGGCAGATAACTCTTTTGCGTCGTCGTGTGTAACAAACCGTACTTTTATATGAAACCGAATGCAGCGCAAACTACGCGACTCACAACTCACAAAATTACGCTCTTCTGGCCTCACACTAACAAGCTGCAATTTTTCAAACTCTAATTTGTAGTGATAACAAACAAATCAATTTGATGACGCTTATTGCTTTTCTTTTATTTTGTTTAGGGTTAGCGCCATCTACCCTTATAAGGAAGCATTAATTTATAAATTACTTTGTAACACACAATGCCATCTATTGACACGAATATTTGTAAAAGCTCAGAAAATAATTTTAGCTCATGTTCAATACTTAAATAATACTTTTTTTATAACATCAAGTGACGGGACGAACAAGTCGTGCGCCTGATGGTAAGCTACACGCCTGTCCATAACAGTTAAAGTGCCAATCAGAGCTTTAAATTGCAAAAACCTGAGGGGCAGTACCACTGCGCCCGTCACCCTGAGACAATTTGACAAATCCCATGTGCCTGTTATTTTACCAGCACCGTTACCCTTCAAAACCGGAAAATAGTATTACTGACATTACTACTTAGCGGCAGAAATAGGTAAGGTGGCAGTATTACCCTGGATGAACTCGCACACAAGGAACTCTACAGCTAGTTATAGATACATACTACAAGGAAAAAGAAATACTTCTTATATATATCACAATAAAGAGGACTTATTTGATATCTAGGGCCATTTACAGTATAATTATAAACTACTTCTAGGCTATTGATCAGCGTCATCTAAATATAAGACGGAATTTTGACCTTTTTAAGACGTACGATCTATAGTATTTAGATTAAGAAACCTCTTGAGTTATGCTACCGGTAACATTATTACTTATATTGTCTTCTACTATGCCGATTCCTTTTAGTTTCAATACTTTACTTTAAGATTCTAAACATTAAATTTCTTTAAAGCGACCATTGGCGTTTCAATATTTCTTTCACAACTTTTTTTATGATACCAAGTGACGGCACGAACAAGGCTTGCACCTGGTGGTAAGCGACATCCATAACACAGTGCTATTTAAATTTTGAACGCACACTGCCATTGCGCCCGTCACAGTCTCATGTACCCGTAGTTTCATACCATCATACTAATTACTACTCGGCGGCAGAAGGTAAAATGGCTTGATGTCCTAGACGAATTAATTGACAAGGAGTCTACTGCTACTAACTTCCAAAATAGAAGACCAAAACAAAAAGGTACTATTAAATAACTCATAAATAAAATAGTAATAATCTCAGTACAGAATACTAAAACCCGATCTCAAAAGTTTTTATTTACCTACTATTTTAATTACCTACATCTATTTACCAAGTTTTATTAAAATCGGTTACCGGAAAGTGCACGAAACTATTGTGTCAAATATTTTCTCCAAATTTATTTAAAAAAATTTAAATTTTGACTACTCTACTACGGTTTCCAAATGCCAGAGTTATCGCGTAACATACATACAAAAAAAGAAAAAAAAATACAGTCGAATTGACAACCTCCTTCTTTTTTAGAGTCGGTTAAATTTTGTGTAATAGAGTCACACGTGATAATTCGTTACATGTGTTTTTATCACTATATATAATTTCATGAAACAAATTGTGCTTGTCTTTAAACATCTCTCTTGAAAAGTTGTCATTTGCAGATATATTACGCTAGTGCATACGTGGTACAGGTATTTATTTACCTTAAATGTCTGTAGATTATCGACACGGCAAGTGAGGGCGGCGTCCCTCCCCACTGCCACAGTGACGTTCGATCCGGGCCCCACGAATCTGGGCAAATCTGCAACAAGACGATGACATTTTAATTAGTCCGTCCAGTCTGTTAATTGATTTTGTATCATAGAGTTCTAAGGCTTCACTGAAATTGGTTGTAATATGTAACAACGTGCAATGACTTCTAACAATAAGTCGGGGACTATATTAAACAATGCACAAAATTTATTGGTTGTTACATACGTATGTATCAATCGACATCGACCGATTGATATGTCCCACTGCTGGGTACGGAGTTTCTTTCAGTGCAGGTTTTATCACGATGGTTTCCTTCACTGAAGCGCTCATGGTAAATTTCAAATTGATTTTCTCACTCAAATTCCGAAAAACTCTGAGGTGTGAGCCCAGATTCTAACCCACGGCCTCTGCTTGAGAGACAGTAGGTCAAACCAACAGGCTGTCACGGTTTCGTGTTAATGGAAGCGTAGCAAACAGTATTTTAATAATATTTCAAATCAATGAATCTGACCATATTCTTTATAGTGTCGTATACCTTCAAAATTCACTACGCCATTTAATAAGGCATTGTAATGGGCCCTTCGTACTCTGCAAACTCACGACACCTTCTTGTTTTCACAATAATTATACATTATGTCGACAAGACGACAACAAAACACTTGAACGTTTTTGTGATGCACATCAATAAATCTGCATTACATTTAATGCATATGCGTAAAAGATGGTTCACGCCGTTTGGACAAGCGGACCGATCGGAAAATTAGACGAAATGGGAAATAGACGAATCGGGAAAGTGGACCATTTGGACAAGTGAAAGTAAAAAAAAGTGGACCGATCGGGGAAGTAGACCAACTATACGGAAGGGCACACCAGATACCTGTACCTCTACCATGAGATGTAATCTCATGTAATCTGACAGTTCTCGCCGTGTTTTTTCTGGTGACCGCTAGAGGCGCTGTATAATTTGCCATATAAAATTGTGAGGTAATTTACGTTGTCACTAGCGAGAACTGTTACTGTAATCTCATGGTACATGCATTGGGGAATTCCATGTACTACCAGGCGGACGGAATCCATTCCGGGGCACCGCCTGTAACGGTACCAATTTCGAAAGATTTATTTCTAAAAATGAAACCAAAGGGAACCGAACCCGATACGTTTTTATCCAGCGCCCATAATGCAAACCGTTGGGTTATACTCTTGATTCTTAAAAATTCATCCACTATTGTTCACAAGTTCTTTGCTTTGTTAATTTGAGTACGAAAACCATTTTTTTTGCCACTGACACTTTGCATTTGGCTGCTGATATAATTTGTAGAGCTTTTTTTAGTCATAAAATTAAAGTATAATCATAGATTGTATTATAATTAGTTCCAGACATTTTGTGCCTACTCGACAGTTCACATTAATGGAGGTTACGAGGTTTACCAATTTAACTGACGAAGCTTTTATTTAACGTCAATCTTACTCTATATCTAAATCACAATATTTCGTTTATACAGTTGCGACGTAAATTATATTTTATTTCATCATTAATGAAGAATTCCATTATTGAATAAAACAAATAAATATTGAGTAAAAAAATAAATTATTGAGTAAACTTTCTGTCAAAAGTTCTAAAATCACTGTGTAGTACCCTTCGAAAAATAACGGTTTCATTATACTAGAGTACGACAGGACGTAGTGATCATGTGTTTAGAAGTGCCTTTATCACAAAAAGTTATGGAAATAATACGAATCCAATGAAACAAATTATGTTATGTGAAATTGTATAACTCTCATATTTAAGAGCGTACTAATACGGTTCATTTTACTTATAGGTCGAGCAGCAGGGATACTGACTTTATTTCAGAATTTATTTTTTTTACAAAAGAAATTAAACCCATTTGAATAATATATATCGCACAGTACACGTTTTACTTCGAACGGTTATCATGCCGGACTGCCACGCAGGGGTCCCAGATTCGATTCCCGGGCCGGGAGAAATATTTGTATTTATTCCTACATTTATTTCTCTCGTGAGTTTGGGTGTAATTTGTGGTTGTCTATGTGTGTCCATGGCACCCGCGACACAGGTTTTCCCTAGTGCGGGGCTATGTTGAGTGTGTGCGTTATTGTGTAGTGTGTTAGTTCAGTTGATATAAAATAATCATTGCTTTATGTAAAGTACCTATTGAATACAGCGGCTTTCTTGTACAATTTCGATGGAAGTTTTTTTCTATTGTGAAAACTTTAGGAATCGTGTTTTCACACCGTAATCAGTTTCACATAGTATATCTTCATAATATATCACAGAGTATATCCTCAATTCTACTATATATTTTTCCAAAGCGATTGATTCAACACTTTCACTGTTACGCGAAATCAACTAGTATAGACTCTTATGCACAAAAAAGTTGTCAACTAATTTCCTCATTAAGATCTTTAAGCCCTGTTCTGAAAAATTATCATTTTGCAGATGTCATGGCCACAACTTGGCCCTGTTATACCAAAAGTGCGACATAGTTTTATGTCTATTATTATTGATGATATTGGCAAACCGAGATCGTTGTTAAAGTCCATCCAAAGTTTGTTTTGGTTAAAGTCGTTCACAGGTTTAAACTTACTATGAATTTGTCCAGCTGTTGGATATTTTTTCTTATAAGATAGATAATATAAGATAGATATGATAAGGTAAATGTGAGGATTTTGTTATTGCATACCTGCTTCTCTATTATATATATGTAATATATGTAGAAGTAGGATTGGAAGTAAATCACTGGTTGACGTGCGCATAACATGAAAACGAGGGTATGTTACTTTTATTTCGTGTACTCGTAATAAGAACGGATTTTTCGAAATTCAGCCCATGAAAATAACTTATGAAGAAAAATGGTAAAAATGTTTTGCTTTCATAGATATATTATTATGAAAAATTCCACAAAGATGAAACTTAATACAAATATTTTATAATGCAAATGGTAAAAGATTTACATAACATTTTTTCATAACAATGCAACGCAATAAGGGTGAAATGGAGCATTAAAGTTTGTGTGTTAAGTTGTTAACGTGTGGTGAAATTTGCTTCAAACTTGGTTTGGATACTTTATATACATAATAAATAAAAGCGCGTAAATTATATTTTTATAAATTATTTGGTCGTTTGAAACTAAAAACAAATTAACTAATCCTGTCTCAAATTACCGATTCGGGCAAATGTGAAATTCGAAAATTTTCACGCTTGCGTAGTTCAAGATTGAGCAGTCATAATTTAGTAGTAACCGAGTCTCGTACAGATTTCGCAACATGGTTTCGTACATTAACTAACTGGTTCTAATTGTGCTTACATTGGAATCAGAACCAAACGCACGTATTAAATTACTTAATTTGTAATTTTATTTTTTCTTTTTATGATACAAACACTCTTTGTTGTACAAAGAAAGTATAAAGGCAAACCAAAAGATGCGGAAAGATGAGGGCACTTAACAATAGGTGCCTTATGGCTAAGCAAGAAACTTGTTCCGTTTTGCTTGACTGTGTATCAGTTAATTATAAACTTTGACAATATCCGTTTTTAATGTTAGCATGTCATGGTATGATGAACAATAATTAACAAATTATTCTGAACCCAGATCTTCGTTTGGTTGGATTAGATTGCCTAATGGCATTAAGTCCGCCGTTTATAACTGTTTGTACGCAATAAAGTTTAAATTAATAATAATAATAATGTGCAACTGCCTTCGTGGCCGAACGGCTACCATGCTCGACTGCCACGCAGACATTCCAGTCAGGGTTCGATTACCGGCCTGACAGAAAAATTTTTGTGTTACGCATCAAAAATATATAATGATAGCATGGAAATATTTTTTTGTAAAAGGTACAAAATATTGAATGATTTACAGATTATAGAATGTGTTTGGATGTGTGTTGCGTGGTGTGTGTATGTGTGTGGGGGGTGTGTTTCGTGGTGTGTTTAAGTGTGTCTGTGTGGGCGAGTACATACATGGTTTTATATATATGTGTGAAAAACAATTTGGCGTGTGTCTGTTATCGGTATGTAGGCTGTAGAGTTATTACATAGCTTTGATGTATCTATTCGAGCATTTCTAAAAGACGTTCTGTTTCGTCATAATTTCGAAGGCGTAGTTCTACAATCAAAATAGTTTAACGGGTATAAGTTTAATACTTTATTTAATTTGTTATAGTGGTACGAAGACTGTCGGTTGCATTGTTTTGCAAGTCCTCATGGTCCTATACGGTGGCACAATGTTTGCACATTTATTTCTCTCGCGAGTTTGGGTGTAATTTGTGGTTGTCTATTGTTTCCCTAGTACGGGGCTATGAATGTGTGCATTATTATTATTACCCACAGCATCTGCCTGGTATTAAACCAGGGAATTATTGTACTATGAGTACCAGAGCAATAGAATTCCCTCTGGGGCACTTCCCAGAACACCCACACCCACACCAAAGACCTTCTCGTCCAGTGCTCACAGTGTAAACCAATGGGCCACCGAAGTCGTCAAAATAAAATAAATAAATACTAATTTATTTAACTATAAAATTTGCATATTCATGTTCAGTACGTGCAACTCCGGAATATTGTTTAGAATCCACGAGAAACCGTATTCAAACACTATTTTTAACCGACTTTAAAAAAAGGAGGAGATTCATTAATTAATCTGTATGTTTTTTTTGTATGTATGTTACGCGTTAACTCCGCCATTTGTGAACCAATTTTCATGATTCTTTTTTTGTTGGAACGAAGTTACCTCAGATGTGGTCTCACTTAAATTTCAAGAAAATATTCCACCTCTAAGAGTGGCAAACTAGGGGATGAACGACGTTTGAGGTCGTTTTTTTTAACCAGAGGTTAGGTTAGGTTATATATATCATATTTCACACAAGCACACAAGTGTATCTGTCAGAAATACCTTCAAAATTATATATACTGTACAGAAGATCATTTTTTATTCAATTCACATTTTTTGAAAGCACCGTCAAAAGCGTATTCAATTTAATTTTTTTTCTTTTTGTTTACATCAATATGGTGGAATTTTGTCGTCCAGGGTGATAGCCGAACTGGTTGGTGTAAGCTCAAATATGCCTTTGTGCAATTTGTATTGGATCGTGAAATTCGTTTTTACATGGTATTGGGTTTAATGGGGTTTTCTTACTAATATTATTTAATTTCGAGTGTGTGCGTTATAGAGTTAAGGTTAATAGTTATACCCCAGTCTTATTTAGTTGCCACAAAATGTTTGTTCTTAAGATTTACTTAGTAACTGTCTACAATAAACACAACTTGAGTCACTGCTAGAACTATTTAAGTTTGTAGGTGAAGTTTACGT